TAGAGAAAAGCTGCATTCTGCTCAGCAGATACTGAGAAGGGCCAAGACGGCAGAATACAAGTAAAATTAGAAAATGCACAGCATGAGGTCCACAGGGAATCTGCTGTTAGCCCTGCAAAACACACACATCTCCAAGAAGAGGGTGAAACTGAGCATGAAGGCTGGGGTGGAGCTCAGAGATACAGCACTTGCCTAGCCCGTGCTAGGCCCTGAGTTTCATCCCCAGCACTGGCCAAAACACACAGGAGAGTGAGAGTGAGAGTGAATATTTGCTGCAAGTTAGTAGCCCTAGCATGTGAACTTTTAATTTCTAGTAGATACATTAATAAAGGCGCTTCCAAATTCTTAGGCAGAATTTCTCTCCCTTCCTCCCTCCCCCCACTACCTTGCATATCTTTATTTATCACATTCAACCCACAGGAGTTTGGAAGAACCAATTGCTAATTTATGCTACATTCATGTCAGAAGAGGTGAGAAAATCCTCAGAAGCCATAGTAACACAAAATCCAGTTGCTACAGTAGAACCAACTGAATGGCAAGAAACAGATGATGCTGCCTCACTGGGTGGCAGGGATGTGGGGTGGGGGGCACTGATAAAAGAATTTGGCTTGGAATTTTATTATTTTCTGGTGCTGGGGATTGAACCAGCATTGCTGGGGTGCTAAATTCATTCCTGTGAATGTTGTAAATGGAAAACTTCAAGGGTTAGGGACTAGGGGGTTGGAGATGTTTCAGCTTTTTCAACACTTAAATGAAGTCGTGGCACTCTCACTGGCAGCAGAGGTCCCCTGTCTGATGGAAGACATCCCTTTCCCCATGCTTGCTTCTTTTCTTTTGGCTACTCATATGGTAGACAGAAACCAAGTCTGTGATGTTTATGAGAAGTACACACTTCTTGCCACTAGTAACCAAGTGTTTGGAAAAAAAAAAAAAGAAGCTAGTACAAAATGGAACGCTTACACTTACATGTCCAAAACGTGTACAAAATAAATCTATGCAATGAGGGTGACCACCAAGCCTCTGTACATATGCCAGGTGTGCTGAAGGAGAGGATACTCCTGCTGAATTTTCTAAGTGTACTGAAATCCCCTAACTTCTTGGTAGACATGGCATTTGCCAAAGAATACCATGGAAAGAGAAGACCTTTACTCTTCCATGATACCCTCACTAAATCCTGTCCTTAAGTCACTGCCAACCAATAACACAAAGCTTCTAGCAAGATGACAAAGTTGGGGGGGGGGGGTAGGAGGAGGCAATAAAGAAGCACAGGAGCAGGAAAAAAGGACCCTTCCACTGCCCAGCTCAAAGTGACTTTTCCCATCACTGCAGCTGTCACCATTATACATCTGGAGAAGTGAACGCACTTAACAAGGGCACACAACACAAGGAAGGAACTTGGCATTCCACATTATCAAGACATAAAAGTGTATTTCTGCTTCCTTGATTTTTGTTTATTTATTTTCATTTAGCCCACTGCCTCTGGAGCCTGTCCAGAACCACTCTAATTTCCTTTCTGAGCAAGTATCTTAGCAACTATGGAGTGACTGGACCACATGCACATACACACACGCCCCCTGCTTAGGATGTCTGGTGTGTGTACAAAGGCACTAAAGCGGTTTTAGAGAAATTGCAGGCAGCAACCTCACCCACTCCCTTTACCTGTGGAGCTGGAGTTTCTTTCCCACTGGGAAGCATAATGTTTGAAAGAAGCTGTGGCCATGCTTGGGAATTCTGACCCTTGGCCCCAGGAAGGAACACAAAAGGAGAACTCGACATCACCAAAACCAAAAGGAAACACTCCACACCTTTGCCATCCAGAGATGGGGATAATTAAGCAGCAGATCTTCAAAACAGCAATTAAAATAAGCACAACAGTAGCTGGGAGCTAAGAAAGTAAAATCACTTGTTCCTTATTAGATTCTTCTATAGTTTCTCCTCCTCCTGTAACAAACGGAGGTAAAACACACATTCTTCACAAATAGAATAGTCCATAGATTATTTTCCTTTAGTAATGCCTATATTTAAAATTTGTTCCAAAATTATTAACCTCTATTTCCTAACTCTTTACATAGATTCTCAGCAATCCAACCGTACTATTTTACAGATTAGAGTTACACTTTTTTTTTTTTAAGCTGTTGTTTCTTTCTTTATTCCTTTCTTTTGTTGCTGGGGCTGAAGTGACAGGGAGAAGGGGTTCATTGAAAAAATAAAAATGGCTGGGGAGATTTTAGTTTAGCCTTACATGGAAGGAACACATGACAGTATTCCCATTCATGTACAGCAAACCCTCTCCCATTCAGTGACACGATTTCAAATGAGTCCATGATAGAGCTGTCATAAAGCTTAATCCTTCTCCCACAGTTTTTGAGATAATGAATTTACCTGTTGCTGCTAAATTGATTTTTAAAAAATATCTCATATGTGTTTTAAAATGTGTGATCCCCAGTATGACCATAATGTTTGGAGACTTTTTATTTTTTTTAAGTAAAAATTTAAACTTTTTGAAGTTTCAGGAACTTGTAAAAGTTTATTAACAGGAAAGAAACAGCCGTCTATCTAGGATAAGATACGGTTAAATAAACCATCTTCAAAAAACTGGCTTCCTACCCTAGAATTCCTGAGAATGCTTGCAAATTTTAAAGCAGGAAAATAAATGTTAAAAACAAAAACAAAAAACACTGTTAAATGCTCCCAGAGTTAGTCTTCATCTAAAATATATATTTATATGTATATATGTATATATATATACGCACTTTTTGGTCTTTTTTTTTTAAAGTTTTTAGTTTTTTTTCCCTTTAAGCTTATGATGGAAGAACGTTTTAGCTTCTCATGTTTATTTTTACATATTTCAAATCCCTCATTTGTGTCTTGTAAACAAGAGGGGCTCTAGCACCCGGCTTTCACCGTAGTATCGTAAGGAACTCAACTAAGCCATAGTGCAGGTCAAGGACCCAACAGGCAGGGGGAGAGGGTGAGGCAGGGCAGGACATGGCCGTGAACCAAGAGCGGCAGTGGACAGTCCCTACTGGCTTACAGGAGCCTTGGGATGAGCTCGTGGCCCAGGGACACTGAGATTTAGCCTTCTGTCTGTAATGTCTGGACACAGCTGTGCTTCACCTGGAGGGCTCTGCTCCAGAGAGCAGTCAGTGGGGTTAGAAGGAGACTTTTTATAGGGAACAGGGGTGGGAGGGGCATGGTGGCAATGAAAACCAGAGAGCAGGAGGAGGGTACAGTCAGTTTGGATAAGGTGTCTGCAGAACAAACCAGTGCTACAAGCTCAAGGTTGCCCACTCACCCTCAAAAGGTCCCACAGGCTGGCATCAGCCCTCACTCGAATTCTGACTGTTGATCTCTTTTGAGGCTATGTTTGTAATCAACAGGGTGAGCCAAGAGGACTACAGAACTTCCCATTCATTGCCTCACAAAACCACTTGCATGTGAATAATTTGTTTTTGCCTTTTGCCATACATACCCATCCACCTACCTACACACAGACACAAGCTAAAGTCAAATACAATACGCTAGGCATTGTTGTGTCCTTCACTGAAGATGCTAAAGAAAGAAAAACTCCCTTGTCCTCAATAGCAGCAAGTTACAGAGGACAGTAGAGGTCTGCTCCCACCAGGGGCTGGAATGGGCAGGTATTTGCTGGTACAGAATGTGGGCACTTCATGTTGAACAGTATGATGCAGACTGGGACGTCCACACAAGCGCTAGCATTACCGGCACATGTCCCCCTCCCCCCAAATCTGCTTTGTATAAAGGGGTTCCGGTCAGGTCTGCTATCACTCTCTTCACAATAAGCAGTTTGATACATTTTGATTCCAACACAGTACATATATGTTGGTGATAACTGTGGATTAAATGTTGCCCTCTGTTTAGCCCAGAGAACTACTACATTGATGCTTTAAAAAAGTCTTTAAATAGCAAAATTAAAAAAGCAACATTACAAGAAAAAAAAAAGAGGTCAAAACCAAAAAAGGTGCAATACTTAAAAGTCTTTGCTAAGTTATTCCTGCCTAAGCAAAACCACATACACAGGAAATACACAACACAGAGAAACAAAGGGAAACGCTTGAAGTACACACTGGTTTAAGAACATTCGTTAAGTAAACGTTTCTGTCAGTGATGGCCTGGTGCTGTAACACGCCACGGCCTGGCACAGGTAACGCTCAGCGAGAGAGGAGCAGAGAGGGAGGAGCTGCGATGCTTCCAGGAGGCTGCTCACAACTTACTGCTTTCTGTTACCATCAAATGAAAATGAGAACCCAAAGGAATATTTAATTCGCATTACCTGATTTTTTTTTTATGAGTTTCTCATACCTGATCACACAGGAAAAAGGGAACACAGTTTCTCTGATTTTGTAACATCACGTAATCTAAAAACTATCTTATCTTCTGTTCCCATACAAATTAACAAAAAGGCCTGCGTGAAACTTAACAGAGACTCAGCAGATGTGCCTAGCAGCCAGTCACTTTAAAAAACAGAAATGAACACACAGCTGTCCCAAGAGGTACCTCCTGCTCTCCAACTATTGGACTTGGCAGTGCTCCTCTCTACGGCTAGGTCAAGAGCAAAGCTAGAGAACCTCACGCTCAGGTTAACGCACAGGTGGAAAGGAGATTCCTGCTCTAATTGCTGAAAAGAACTTTTTGTCTCAATGCACCTGACTGAGCAGCTTGAGTTGCAGCCACTCCCCCAGGCTTGGGTGTTCTCATAGTTGAAAACAAAATATCAAAGCAGATGGCTGGCCAGCCAGCCTGTGGACTGTCAGCAATGCAGCTTTCTGAGAAATTGGGGTGGGTGGGGGAGGGCAGGACGCAGGCACACACAGAGACAGAGGAGGATGCACGTGAACGCACATGAACACACGTGCACACACATACCAGAACGAGCATGCCTGGGCAGTTACATGTGCCAGAACACACTGGTATTTATCAACCAGCCAATCACAATAGTTTTCCTTTTTTTTTCTTTTCTTTTTTTTTTTTTTTTTTAGGTTTTTGTGTTTTTGTTTTTAAAGTGAGGCTCCGTCAAGTCTTCCCTCCCCCCTCCCCCAACAATTCTTTTGAATTTCCCTCCCACCCAAACATGGTAGACCTAAGGACGGAAACACACCCAGTGCAAACAAAGTTAAAAAGCTATTTTTTTTTCAGTATATATGTTTCTTAGCAACAACTTCCATATAACATGAAAAAAGTGAAAAACTAGAAACTAATTTTTTTAATTTTTTGTGTTTAAATTTAAATGGTATGTGTACTTGCTTCACATTGTCTTTCTAGGTTGGCGTTCATGATTCAAGTATTTCAAGAGTGATATGTTCTCTTTTTGGATTCATATTCCAAACGAAAAAACTGAAGTTATAAGGGAGGCAACTATGTGCTCAGACAGTCTGTCAATGACCCACCTTTTTTTCTCTCTCCGTTTTCTTTTTTCCTTTTAAAAATGTATTTATTGCAAGTTGAAAAAAAAAACGAAAAGGTCAAGTTAGTGCTGCTGCTGTTCCAAAAAAGGTCACGAGGTCAGAGTTGAAAGTTCTAAGTTCAGATTGAATCCGACCCTCCTCCCAGAAGGTCACCAGGTAGTAAAGGAGCCGGGCTGCCCATCCTATGGGGATCTTCCACCGTCGGGACTCCCCACAAGCTAGAAGAGTAGTTTGGGGGCCCCCACAATGAAGCGCCAGCAAGATCGGCCCCACTGCTGCCACCAGCACTGCTGCTCCACTGCCCGAGCCCAGTGGACCCACCAAAAAGGTTCAGCGCAGGTCCCACGGGGTCTGACTGGTTCTGGCTGGTTTCTAGTGACTGCCACCCTGCGGCTGGTGCGCTGGGGGTTGCTGCAGGTGTAGGGGGCTGAGCTTGAGCCAGAAAGCGGCTAACTTCATCATCAGTGGCGAACTCAGCCAGGATGGTAGTGTTTCCCAACACACACCTGGAGGGAGGAGAAAGAGAGTGCTGTGGGTCTGAGGGAAGCAGCCGGGGTGGGGATGTGGGGTGGTGTTGCTGCCTGGATGCATTTCAGAATGTAGAATCACAGACTCATCATCATAGGCCTACAGCTCAGAGCCCGCATGTCACCTGAGCAGAGCAATGGGCTATTGCCATAGTTTAGGACAGTTAAAGCTACCAGAGGGTATTGTGTATCCATGCCTCCTGGGGTAGGAGTTCACATATTCCAGACAGCTTAGATATCAAGGATTGTGTGTGTGAAGGGTGAAATGTGGAGCACAAAGGATTTTTAGGGTAGTGCAACTTCTTTGAATGATACAATGATGGTGCATGCATGTTATTACGCATTTGTCGTAGTTCACAGAATATACAATACCAAGAGTGAACCCCAAGGTAAATGATGGACTTGGGGGAATTATGTGTCAATGTATGTTTATCACTGTGACAAATGTGTCATTCCTGGTAGGTGATGCCAATAATGGGGGAAGATATGCTCAGGGAGGGGTAGGAGTACATGGGAAATCTCTGCACCTTCAATTTTGCTGTAAGCCTAAAAGTTCGCTTAAAAATTCAAGTTCTTAAAAAAGAAAAGAGAAGAAAAGTTACTTCTTTTTATCTTTTTATCTCACATGGGTGGGATAAAAAAATCACACCCAGAGCATTGGGCAAGTCAGAGTCAGACACCTGGAAGTGCTGCTCCACCTCAGGGAAGGAATTGCACCTGGGTCTCAGCATCACTCACTTGCTTTGTGTGTGGTTTTTCATCATGGCATCTGCAACCAGGAGGCAGCTCTTTTTTGTCCCCCAGTTTGACAGTAGCTGGGACAGGGATGGTCAAAGTCTGATCTAGTCTCATCTATTTCAGTCAAAAAACCCTGTTCCCCTCTAAGACCACAAAATTTCATCATTGTCTACAAAGAGGCCACAGGAAGCAGCTAGATTCTATCATAAAAAATGGCAAAACTTAGAATGTTTTACATCTTCACAAATGTTGGCTTTGTTTTATATACTTAAAATTTACCCACTGCTTCACAAATTATTTACATTTGGAATTTTGATTATCAGTCTGTAATAAACACAGGACAATGTAAGCATACTCAGGTAGAAAAGACCTGCCACTTCAGTACCCAAGACTATGCATAAAAGTTGGCACTGTTTGTGTGTTTGCATGTCTTTTGTTAAGCACGAACCAGAATACTCACACTCGCATCTCCATGCGTGTTTGTCTGTGTGGGCACAGGACAGAACACTTACATGTGCAGTGCAGTTTGGGCCTTGGCCGCCTCCTGTTTGGTGCTGTATCGAATCAGGGCAGTGCCCTGGGTTAGATTCAGATGGAATGTCAGCAGCGGACCATGCTGCATGCAGATCGTTCTCAAGGTTGACCCATCAATCTAAGAAGCAAAAACATTCATGAAATAAAAGTTGGTGGTGGGCTGGGGAAGGAAAACCATAAGATACTTAAAGCACAGGTTGAGACCTACTAGTCTCATTTTGCAAATAAAATGTTTGCATAAATACAACTCAAAACAAAAACATATAATTTAACCTGTGGTCTGTTTACTTTAAGAGGTTATAAAAAAGAGAGTGCATGTTAATTTGTAGAGTTTAAAAAGGCAGAAATGAGATAATACCCAATTGAGAACTTAAGTAAATATGTGAAGTTTTCAGTATCATTAGCAATGCTTTATTGTTTTGCTTCCCTAGGAAACAATCTCACAAGGTAGAGAAACACAGTAAAAAAGGTATGAGCCAGGTACCAGTGGCTCACACCTGCAATCCTAGCTATTTGGGTGGCTGAGACTGAGAGGATCACAGTTTGAGGCCAGCTCAGGCAAAAGTTCAGGAGACCCCCATCTCAGCTGGGCACAGGGGCACACGCTTGTCATTTTGCACCTATCATCCCAGCTATGTGGGAGGCTGATAGGGAGGACTGCAGTTCAAGTCCAACCTGGGAGAAAAAGTTTGAGACCCCATCACAACAGAAAAAATCTGGGTATGGTGTCATATATCTGTCATCTCAGTGACAACAGGAAGTATAAAATAGGAGGATCAAAATCCAGGCTGGGCAAAAAGCAAGACCCTATCCAAAATAACCAGAGCAAAGGGGCTGGAGGTGTGACTCAAGAGGTAGAGCACCTGCCTAGCGAGTGTAAAGCTCTCATTTCAAACCCCAGTTTGATTATTTGGAGGCTGATGATTTGCCTAGTTCACAGACTATTCATTCCAACACTGTTTTACCTCTACTTTGATCACCTAAAGGTGAGACTATTTCCAGTCCTTGTCTTTGTCCTCTGCTGCCGCCAAAGAAATTGACCAAAGGCTATCGTTGAAGTTCAGACACTTCACCACTTATGAGTTCAGTGATGCCCAGTATCACATGCGTGTAATCTCAGCACTTGGGAGGCTGAAGCAGGAATCTGGAGTTCCAGGCCAGTCTGGGTTACATACAGAGATCCTGCTTTAAACCCTTTCCAAAAAGCCAGGCATTGTGGCTCATGCCTGTAATCCTAGCTACTCAGTAGGTTGAGATTGGGAGGATCAAGATTTGAGGCCAGCACAGGCAAAAAGTTCTCAAGACTGCATCTCGATAAATAAAAGCTGAATGTGATGGCACATGCCTGCTATTCTAGCTACGATGGAAAACAGTCCAGGCTGGCTGGGCATAAATGTGAGACCCTATTTGAAAAGTATCTAAAAACAAAAATGGCTAGGACTGTGGCTCAAGTGGTAGAGCAACTGCCGGGTAAGCTCAAGGCCCCGAGTTTTAAAAAATAAAGTTGTTACTGGTGGCAGTAGTGGAAAACCTTCAGGGTGAAAATAGGCAGTTTCACTGTACCTCTTAACAGAAGATGATCAGAAAAATCAATCTTAGCAGAGTATTATCAGTGATGGCGACTATATAAGCATGCCAGCATAAGCATGTCACTAGTGACTTTTTAGGAGACAGATGTCCTTTAAACAAATTTTAGGTGATGAAAAGTCTACTTACTCAGGTTTTAAACTTGCTCTTATAATCTTTTCTTTCTTTTTTGAGGTACCGGGGTTTGAACTCAGGGCCTACACCTTAAGCCACTCCATCAGCCCTTTTTTTGTGATGGGTTTTTTTCAGATAGGGTCTCTCAAACTATTTCCCTGGGCTGGTTTTGAATAGCGATCCCCCTGATCTCTGCCTCCTGAATAGCTAGTATTATGGCGTGAGCTACCAGCACTCGGCAGTAGCTTTGATTTTTAAATTAAGCAATTCTTTCTCTTGTTTTTTTGTTTTTGCAGTACTGGGGCTTGAACTTGGGGCCTACATCTTGAGCTACTCCACCAGCCCTTTTCATGGGTCTCCGTAGGAACCTATCTCCCCACTGGCTTTGAAATGCAATTCGCTATCCTGCCTACTGAGTAGCAGAATTACAGCATGAAGCCCAAAAATCCCTTGGCGGGGGCTTATTCTCTTTGGGGCTTTAATCATTCTCTTAATGCAAAATAGCACCCCATATTCATCAATTTCACACACACACACACACACACACACACACACACACACAATTTTTCATAAGATAGAACAAGTGAGCATGGCTGGTTAGCATGTTTAGGCTCTTTCCAAGACAGATTATGCCTTACTGCTTCTCTCATTTTACCTGCATTATAACTGCTACATGGTATGACAATTCTTAAACTCTTAGGAAAAAAATGAGGCAAGCATATGTTTATTTATTTTTGGTACTGGGGATTGAACTCAGGGCTTCTCACTTGCTAATCAAATGCTCTACCACTTGAACCACACCACCAGCCCTTGGCATACATACTTTTGAGGATCATCATATGAGATTCTTCATATTAACTTCAAAGCCCAGTATCGTCCCCCTTCTCCTCCCAAAAAAAGGATTCTTCATGCAGGGACTGGGGATGCAGCTAGAGGTAGAGAACCTACCTAGTACCTATAAGGTCGGAGTTTGATTTCCAGCGTGGAGGAGTAGGGTGTAGGAGGGAGTCTTCATACTTCAGTCAAGCAT